CCAGCCATTGTGCTCGGCTGCCCCACATGAAGCCGATTAACAGGAAGCCATAATGCTTGTCTGTCAGCCTGGACAGGTGGCACTCCACAGCGCTGGAGGTCGGGCAATCCTCCAACTTCTGGGACGGCAGGGACCCCCTCCCCGGCCGCGGAGCCCTGGCAGCAGGGCTTGTGGTCTCCAGCTCATTACCCGGCCTCTGACTTCCTCTGCTTGCTGGCGCGGGCTCCGGGCCCTGCACCCTCCTCGGCCTCCATGAATGGGCTGACAGAACTCTTAGCACTAGCCCTCTGTGTCACTGCATCCTCCATTGTCACCACACACGCACTGCACTCAACGGGGGAAGAAAGGCCTGAATGAACCCCAGACCCGCGGCCAACTCAGGCAGAGAGGACTTAGGAAACTATCTCATGCTTCCTCTCTCGCAGGCTCTCTGGCTTACTTCCTTGCATACAAAATGAAGCCCGCAGGCGGGGTGGGGGTAGGGGTGGTGGAAAGGAGGCAGGAGAGGGAGGCATCAGCCCCTAGTTCGACTCCTGCTACTTCCCAGGGCCGGCGTCCCTTTCTGCAACTCTTCAAAGGCTACACAGGCCCCTGCCTGCAGGTCTGCAAAAGGTTCTATGCGCAGGCAGCCTAAGGCGTACCTCGAGAACAGGGGTGCATCAATGTGTGACCAGGAGGGGCCAGGCCCTGACTGGGGGCACGTAGTTCACACCTAGACTTCTTCCATGGCGTGGGGAACTGGCTTTTGCTACCTTACTGACTACCAGAAACACAAAATGCTAGGTGTCTCTAGGGAGGCAGGCAGCCCGCAATCCGCTCTTGGGCCTATTGACGGACGAAACCATTTCTCCCCAGACCCTGGGGGAGGAGGATGGCTGTCAGCAGACAGGACTCGAGACTCTTCTCACAAACCCCGATCCAAACTCACTGCCACGGATTCAATGCCGACTCTACACCCCGACAGGATCGGGCAGCAGCGCCCCGGTGGGTTTTTCTGAGACAGTAACTCTCTACCGGAGCAGAAAGACTCCACACGTCTGTCTGTTCAGTGCCTGCCAGGAGCGTCACCACGTCTGCACGGCCCGTGAGTCTCAATTATCCTTTTCGAATAGACGTGAATGAGTGAAACTGAGTCACGTGAGAATTTGACTCAAAACTTTTAAAAAGCCAGGAGAAACCAGGGGTTTCAACCCAACCGGGGGCTCTGATAATGAGGGGCCTCAAAGCCTTTATGGTTAAAATAGCCGTCTCTTGCAGTCCCTGGTTTTCTTGAAGCCCTCACCCCATGAGAGACACCAACGAGAGCCGGAATCTGCCAGAGCGCCCTCTGTCTGTCGCTCGCGTCAGTGGGAAGCACTGGCGTCTCCCCTTCTCCCACAGGCCCCCCTGCCGGACACCATCCCTGGCTTCCACGCTCAGAAACACAAAGCCGTCGAAACGGCTGCCTACCCTTTGTCCTTCTTTCCTTCCTTCCCTCCCCCTCTCTTCAGCACCATCCCCCCAGGGCCCTGCCAGTTGGGTCTTGTTCAAGAGGTTCTATAGACAAGGCAACAGTGAGATCAATGCTGGCAGAGGCACGGACCAGGCCGAGAGACGGAAGGGGAACCTCGACTGGGCCTGCAGAGCCGGGGACAGGTTCACCAGGGAACCAGGGCAGCCCATTGCTCCCTTCAAACTTACCCTTGGCAACGGAAGTCCCGGTAGAAGTCCCCCACGTCACCCCACCACCACAAAAAAAAAAAAAAAAAAAAAGCCAAAACTGGCCAGTGCCTGTTTTTAGCAACACTTATGACTTGGAAGGAAAAGTACTCACAAGATACCACCCTCTGAGACTTTTATTCCCTGTAAAACTGTCCGGCTTCTCACTCAAGCTTTCTCTTAGGAATGAAGCATTCCGGTTTATTTTGGCAACCAGGAGCAACAAGGCCTGCATTCGCCTGGATCCCTCCTACCAAAAGCTACCTGCCCTGGCCAGTGAGCCAGGGGTGGGTGGGGTAGGGGGTGGGTGTGGATTTGCTGCAGGGTCCCAAACAAACCGGGGGAGATGCTCCCCGCCCTTCAGCAGCTGACCCCCGCCCCCTCCCAATGGCCCATGGTATCTCACAGGCTCCCCTCATCCTGGTGATCAGAAAGGGGGGGTGAACTCCAGGGCCTCCCATGCAAACGGAGTGGTGGGCTCTTTCATAGTGCGCTCCAGCCAGGGACTCCAAGGGGCTGTGGGCATTGGCTTCCCTGAGGGAGGGGCTCATTGTGTGCTTCTGGATACTTCCTACAGTACAGCCTGGCTCTCTCGACAGGTTGCCACTTGACACACAGCCTTGCTCTGATGTGAAGCTCCCCAGCATTTATAGGACACCCACACACTGATGCATGTGGACACACCATGCTACGGTTTTGCTCCATTTTCCATGGCCACTACTTCCCATGCACCCCTCTCCCTGCCTATCCCGGCCAGCTTCTAAACACAGTATTCCGAGGCCATGCCCTGCCCAACCCAGCAAGTGCACAGGGAGTGGACCTCCGGCAACAAATGGAAAGGAAGTGCTTGGAAGACACCACATCTCAGCCCACTTTCGAAATGGCAAACGGAAGAGCTGCTCACGTAGTCATGCTTTTCTGAACTCTCGTCCTTGTAACTTTCTGCCCCCCCCCCCCCACGCCTGGGCCCCTCACCAGCGGGCGGACGAGAGGACAGTTAACACCAGGAAGCTGTGCCCACACAAATACAGGTGAGCTCGGCGCATCTCAGCCCTTCCCACTAAAAAATAAGGGAAAAGCCCTAGGAAAGGAGGGACGGACCAAGCGCGCCCCCGGGGGGAGGTCTGACAGAAGCTTGATGTTTATCACCTGGAAGCGTGCTCGGCTTTTAACGTTAAAAATGCTTCCATTAAGGAACAGGATAGGCTCACGCTGCACGGCCCGGGCTGTGCCCACCAGGGAGAAGACACCGCTTACTGTGGAGTCGACTGACTGGGCGGCCTTACGAGGGTCAGCAGAGAACTGCTTCATCAGCCTTTCAATGGCTACTCTTTCAGAAAAAGAGCTTTCTCCCAAGGTACCTCTGGGTGGAGTGGACCCTCCGGCTTTTGGCTCATAGCTGAGTGGTCATTTGTCTGCACGACCTGGATATTACGAAGGCCCAGGCCCTTGACAGAAACCGGGGACGAGTCTATAGCAGAGGGACATGGTAGGAGCCCTGGTAACGGGCTGCTATCCAGTGAGCCCGGTCTCTTGAATGGCTGCTCACACAGTATGTGAAGAAAGGCAGGCAGCTTCTCCAAGCAGAGCCGTCGGCAGACTGGTCTGCAGTCCCAAGCTCGACATGTCCCTCAAAGATAAGGTGACCAGCCACCCCGCTTTTGGCGGGACAGTCCCGATTTAAAACGTCCCAAGGCGTTTTAAAAAAGTTCTGATTTTTGGAAAGAGTGCACGACAAGCTAGGGAACGGTCTATTTGGTCCATATAGACCAAATATTTAATCAAGAGCCCCTCCCCCCACCCCCCTCAATGGTGTCCCGCTTTACCAATGTTAAAATCTGGTCACCTTACTCAGAGCCTCTGTGCCACCCCCTCCCCAGACCTGACCTCTGTCCATGTGAGATCCACAAGGGAGGCTTGGAGGAGACGCCTGGGAGGAGTCTGGGGACAGCCTTTGTGCGGGCTGATGCGCCAGCCAATCAGAGCCGGTCTATAAATATCTGAATGTGGTTACAAAGCCAGGGTGGGGTCACAGGCTCCTGTGGATGACATTTTTCTGCCTGGGGGTCAAGAAAGGACTTGTCTTTGGCTGGTTGGGGACAGGGGAGCCCCGGTCCTAAGGCTGCCTTAATAGGAGAGACTCAGAAAAAAATGGAGGCATATCCTTTCTACAAATGTTCTGTTCCACCCAGGAGTTCCCTCTGGAGGGTTAGAGAAGCATTTCCCATGCTGCACGGAAGGGGCCTTTAAATCTGTATTTTGGAGCCTTTACTTAAAAAAAAAAGCCTGCGTTTTGGAGCATTTACTACTTAAAAAACAAAACACCAAACTCTCGGATAGTAGTGTGCAGTGTGTCGAAGCACATCCCACGCATCACCCAGTGTCCTTTCTCGCACTGGTGACCCATCCCGGGGCAAGCTCTGGGGGTGGGAGGGTGTCAGGCTGCTGCCCCAGACCCTCGTGCTCCCACCTTGTGCTCCTTGCTCTGTGGGGCAGCACCCACGGGGAGGGGACGGCACATGAGCCCTTCCCTCGGTCTATTCCCACATTAGGGCATTCTCAATCCCCTTGGAACGTCCAGAGGGTGCCGTGGAGAAGTTCCCCTGCATTCTTGAGCCGCACCATGGTGACTCATGAGAGCCTCAACGTTGGCACCCCTCCCCCTACTCTAGACCAAGTACTTTTCCCCCCTTTCCTCCCACCCAAGAAAAAGATCGCAGCAGCTACACACTGGGTGGGGGGTAAGGCACATTGGCCTGAAGTGGGGGCCCTGAAGGTCTAGGGCCCGCGCTGCTGCTGACTTCAGTTCTTGGTGTCTCCTCTCCTGTGTGAGCCCCAGGGAGACCCTGTCTCTGATCGCTCAGCACCCACCGCACTGGCCCCTCCACTTGTAGGGCTGAAATGTCTTATCGGCCCAATGCAGAGCCTTCTCCCTTGAGCCTGGCCGGTCTCAAAACCTTTCTTCTCATGAGCTTCAGATCCTGGCAGGCAGAAGGCACCGGCCGCCGGGCCAGTCCACAGGGCACACAGAATGGAAAAAGCTCTTGCTAATAATAGTTCCTGGTATGGCACTGCTCTCTCTCTCTCTCTTTTTAAAGTGCTTTTAATCCGTCACTACACTGCACAAAGGAAGCGAGAGACGAGGAGGAGTGGAGAGGTTTGCCCAAGGCCAGGGGCATCTAGCTCTAGGGCTTCTGCTTCCTGAGACAGGCAGCCTCCTGGCTGATTGCCCTAGTTCCTGAGTCTAGGGCCCCATGTTCAGCAGGCAGGCAACAACTGCTTCACGCTCCGTGCCGGAGGGGAGGCTGCCTGACAGCGTGGACATAAATGGAAGCAAAGCTTCTGCCACACAGGAAAACGAGTCAGCACCCTTCCCTCGGCCCCGCATGTGCTGCCCCATTCTCGCTGTACTCCACAGGCCGCAAGCTCTCGGCACTCACGATCCCCGGTGACCTGCTCAGGGTAAGGTTCTCATGCACGGTCCTTCGCAAACCGAGACAAAACAAAACAAGAGGGAGCTGCAAGAGGCCATCAGACCCAGCGGGGCCTAGTTCTTCTCGGAGCTGGGGGAGAGAAAGGTCTGGTCGTGGCCACCTACCACGTCGGTGTTGGTGACCTTGGCCAGCAGATCGGTCAGGGCGTCGAAGGTGAGCGAGCTCACATCTTCGTCCTGCTGCAGCCCACAGATGGCCGCCCCCACGCTCCCAGTGGCGATCATGGATGGTGGGTACATGGCGAACTTGAAGTCTGCAGAATTAAACAGAGGGGGAGAGACGAAAAGGCTCAGGCGGCGAGAATCTGGTTCCAGGAGGCCCCCAGGCTTGGAGTGCCTCCCAGGAGCAAGATGGCCGGGGGTGAGCGGGCCCAGCGGCTCCTCGCCCTGTAGGCACGTGCTCCCTGGGGTCCTTCGCTCACAAGCAGCCCACAGCTTATTCCTCTGCCATCGTGGTAGCTACTCTGGCTGTGCGTTCTGCCACTAACCCACCGGTCAGCGGTTTGAACCGGGCAGTAGCACCGCAGAAGAAGAGTCCTGCTGTCGTCAAGAGGGAAGCCGAGAAAAGCCTGGGTGACACGGTGCTTCTCCACAGCTCGTGGGATCCACGACGGAGCAGAACAGCACAGCACACTGGGGCCGCTACGCCCGATTGTTAGAATGAGGAGGCTGAGGCACGGGTGCTGGCCTGAGCAGTAAGGAAGGGGCAGAGGGAATCCTAACGCCCCACGTCCCATGAGGGGTGAGCAGTCTCGGCTCTGGCGGGGCAGGCAGGAGAGGGAGACGCGCCTCCCTGGCGGGAGAGGGAGCAGGGATGCCGAGGCCAGTGCACAGAGAAGGTGCGTTTCTGTGCTTGTGTAACGTGTTGTAACCCAAGGGCTCCGTAGGAGAACCTACTGGCGGGGGCAGCAGATCGGACAAGAGATGATGTAGGACAATCCAAAGGAGATCCCTTCTCCCTACCCCGAGCCACTCTTCCTGACTGGCACTGCACCCCCAAACCCCTCAGAGGCCACGCCACAGCAAACAGTCCCATGAAGCCGACCTCATGAGAACCGTGCCCCTCGACTGCAAGACCCACAGGGCAGCCAACCTCTTGTACTGAGCCCTGGAGGGAGCGGGTGTGCAGGCTGCATGGTACCGGGGCCACATTTCAAAAGCATTCCTAACAGACACACTCTGTCCTAAGACACACGCTCCCAGAACGCGCCTGTCTGTCTCTCCTAGGCTGGTTGTCCAGTGACTTCAGGTGTCTTTCCCCAGCGCACTAGCCCCTTCTAAACCTCGAGTGACCAACGTGACGGGTGTTGCCACCGAGCAAGGCCTGTGGTCTACTGGCCCCTCCCATGCCTTCTCTCTTCCTGGGGACAGTGTGACAAAGCTGGCCTCCCGCCTCCTGCTCGGCTGTAGGTCTGCTTCCACACGGAGTCCACAGGAGAGCAGTTTCTCTGCCCAGTGACCTCGTTAGCTCCCTCCTGTGACAGTCATCATGCAAAGGAGGCAGCCAGCTCATGGCCCGGGGCCCACAAGACCCTGGGTCGAAGCATCTGGCAGGCAAGAGGCGTCTGGACCCTCCCTTCCCTCTGCCACAGTCCTTGGACCAGGAAGCAAGGCTCAAGGCTCGTGCATACGCCTAGTTTTGTAGACCAGACCCTCAGGCTGCTACACTGGCTTCTTGTCTCAGCTGACTCATCAGCTCTGGGAGCCAGGTGCTGACGTGTGGATTGCCCAGGGGACCAGAAGTTGCAGAGGGGACTTGTGGTTCTTTGCCCCAGCTGCTCACCAACGGGCAGGTCCTCACACAACACGCTGCCAGCTTCAGGCCAGCTACCCTCAGCGTCATGCCACCCATGCAAGCCGAACTGGAGCTGTCCTTCGGCTCGAGCGAGCTGGGCTCCACTCTCCTGGTCAGCCCACCACTGGGGCAAGGGAGCATCCATGGCCTGCCCAGACTGCAGACCTCGGGCAACACCCTGCCTCCCTCCCGCTTCTAGATTGGGATCCGTCTAGTTAAGGATAGGTAGCAACGGCTGTTTCGCGCAACCCAAGCTTGCATCTGCATCTCCACTGTTTCCTGTAACCCAAGCTTGCATGTGCATCTCCACTGTTTCCTGTCACCCAGGCTTGCATTTGCATCCCCTCGTTCTCTGCCGGCATCTCAGTTGTCTGTCATTTACTGTCCAGAACAGGTTGGTCAGTATCAGAAGGAACTGCCCCCAAGTGCGTGCTGTTCTAAGTGTCCTCCTGGGGTTTGTTTTGCCTGCTTGTATGCGTCTGAGTCACGGGGTCAACAGGGCTGGAGACAAGAGGCTGGGTGAACTCCTAGGTGCCTTCTACCTCAATCTGCACAGACTCAAGGGTCTGGAATGAGGGGCCCCTCCATCCCCACAAGGACAATAACCAGTTACAGACAACAGAAAGTTGCTTGGCTCCGGCCAGCCAGTCAATTGCAACCCCCCTCTTCCCTTTCCACAAGGACATCCGGACCCCTCATCAGGGACCCTCCAACTCCGAAATCATCTAAAGCAGTGGTTCCCAACCTTTCTGATGTCTCGACCCTTTCATACAGTTCCTCATGTGGTGGTGACCCCCAACCATAACATTATTTCCGTTGCTACTTCAACTGTCATTTTGCTACTGTGATGAATCGGGTGACCCCTGTGAAAGGGTCTTTCAGCCCCAAAAGGGGTCGTGACCCATAGCTTGAGAGCCGCTGATCCAAAGGGTCATGACCTAGAGCTATCTCTCTAGTCCAGCCTCTTGGGAGAATCCCACTCAAGCCATGACTGACCACCTTAGGCAGGGGCTGTGTGTCAGGATGCAGAAATAGGCACTTGGGGTGAAGGGGGCCGAGAGCCAAACTCGATGTGAGCTTGCTAGGCCTAAGAGATAATCTTCCAAGGCAGTTGTGTGTGCGTGGGTGCGTGCGCGCGCACGTGCACACACTTTTATACAAGCAGATAACCATGCACACATACCTCGCACTTCACGGCACTTCGAGGATCGCACGTCTTGCCAACCGAAGGCCCACCTGTGGCAACCCTTTCTGAAGGGGGAATCGAATGGGGGAGCCATTCCCTCGCTGTCCAGTTGTATGGGTGTCACAGCAAGGACCTCATCAAGGGAGTCCCCAAAGTCTCTGCTATTGTGTCAGGAGCAAGAGAACCTGAGCTTCCCCCTCCCCAGCAGACAATGAAGGGAAAGGAAGTGCCTCCCCGCCAACCCTCAAAGATGTGGTAGAGCAGGTGTCCCTCCCCCTCGATCTTGGGTGTTACCTAAAAAAGAACCTCATGCTTCCCCTGGATCAAGCACCTCCCGCTTCAGGTGAGTGTTTTACTGAGCGTGGTCAGAGCAGAACTGTAGACTCCCTCTCCAGTGCTCTCTTTGCGTTTCCAAAAGATCACCCCCCACCCACGTAGGAGGAATGCAGGGACCCCCTAAGCAGCAAGCTGCGTGCCCTCGCACACCTAGGAAGCCACCTCCCAAGGTCAACGGTGCGTTCCAAGTTCCATCAACTTGCCACCTGCACCTCCAATGAAGGAAGCGGTGGAGAGAAAGCGGTTTAAGAGCTCAGGTGACATGGCTCTGCCGGACAAGCTCAGCCCCAATGACCAAAGTAGTTTAGCTTTGACAGTACAGGGCATGACTGCTTTGCCTGTGTTCACCACTAGGGGGAGACTACTGGTTCTAGGAGAGCATTCTAGAAGCAGGGAGGAAAAAACCCTCAAATCCCCAACCCCTTGATGGCCCCTCCTCCAACCTGCAGTCAGGTTTGTTTAAAGGCCAGAACCAGGGTGCTCACTGGCCCATGAATGACGCCAAAACCCCACCTGCCACCCCCAGAATGGGTGCAGCACACGCTGTCCTCTGAAGGCATGTGAACTCCCAAGGCGCAGGTGGAAGGCAGGTGGGCGGGGCCTGCTACTCATTCATCTTACAGCCGGACTGGAAGCGATAGCTACTCTTACAAGGTCAGGTCCCACGGGGAGGCTTCCTCTCAGTCCCTTAGGGTTCTGGCTAGGGCTGGGGTGGAGGCAGCTCCTCCCATTCTGGATCAAGGGCCAAGCCACCTCCCGTGGTGACCTCCCTGGACCTACTACTGCTTTGATACGTTCACTCTGGGACAGATGCTGCTGAACCACCTGGAGGTGAAGCACGTGGCAAGTCCACAGCATGGAAAAGCACCACGGGTTCTCCTCCAGAGCCAGGAAGGGGGCACCTTTCGGGGAGCGCACACCTAGCTGCGGCCAACGTCTGAGGTCGGGCCACCCAGTGCAGGAGGAGGTGGGGGGTTGGGGTGTCCTGGTCAGGAGGTGAAGCAGCCCCCTCCGGACCCATCTCCAACTCCGTGTCACTGGCTCTCCTAGACTAGCTGGAAATCACGGGCTGCACATGACGTCGGGTGTCAAGAATCTCTCCCAGCAGCCCGAAATCCTGAGTCATCTCGTCCGCTTGACGTCAGAACCGCAAGGAGCAAGCAGGCTCAGATCTTCGCCCCACTATCAGAAACTCAGAAATGGAATGTCAGGTGCTGGGGTTCTCCTCCCAAGAGCCTCAGGGATCAGGACAGCACCTGGCGGACCAGTGCACAATGAACGGAGGACCGCCCTCATGGGCACACCCAGCTCTCTTCGCCTTTTGCACTTCCGCTCTCACACACAGACTCTTTCACAACGTAGCCTCGAAGCCTAGGGGGGTGGGGGAATCGTGGGGGGGTTGGCTAACATCTCCCCCTCCCACTCCAGTCACACAAAACCCAAGCTTCAGGTGCCCCATCTGCTCCAAGACAGTACATCCCAGACTTGGGGGGTGGGGCACCTCCTATCACCCCCCAGGGCACCCTGTGTTTGCAGTCACTTGCATCCCCTCTGCCCTGGAACCCCCCAACATGTGGCAGGGTTTTCCTCCTGGACTGATAGCTGACGTCGATGTCCTCACTGTCACGTGGGGGTGTGGGGAGCCCATGCGATGCTCCCTCACTTAGGCCCCTCACTTAGGCCCAAGTGCAGATCAGGGCGTGCTGGCCCCTGAGCCAGCCATTCCAGACCCAGAAAGCTTCTCTGAGCTCCTCCCTATGCTCAGTCCCAGCCTGGGGCTCAGGATGGGGCAGCTGGTTCCATTTGGCCGGAGGGGTTTGTTCTTCCCCTTATCCCGGCCCCCAGAAGGCCGCAGTGTCTTCCTGACTTCCTCTGACTCCCTCAGACCTCTGTCCTCAGTCCCGAGTCCCAGGCTCCCTCCTCTGGCCCCAGTTGGCAGCCAAACCCAAGGAACTGGGCAAGAAGGCCAGAGGTGGGGGATGGGACCCCCAACTTTACAGAAACGAGTCCTTACAGAACCTGGGGATCTGCCCAGGCTTGGGTAATTCCACCCACCACTCCCCACCCCAACTGAGAGAGCGGGGAGGGAGGCGGGGCGGGCAGACCCCTGACTATCGGCAGCTGGGGGATGGATGGGGTAGCTTAGGGTCGGAGGCCAGCCCAGCCATCCTGGGGCCAGAATAAAAAGACTGGCTGACCTGCCCCCTAGTGAACCATGAACACGGTGAGAGAAGGCACAGCCGGGCCTGGGAGACAAAGACAAGTCAAGGAGGGACTGACCTCTAAGACCCAAGCCAGGCAGCAAGGGAAGGGAACAAAAGAATGGCCACTGTGTAAAAGTGGCCAGGGTCCCCCTGAAGGGTCCCCAAGTCGGTGGACAGCCAGCCAGCCAACTCTCTACCTCCTGAAAGGGCGAAAGGTCCACGCACAGAGAGGCCAGGTCCTGGCCCGAAAGAGAAGGGCTAAGAAGTGACCCAGGGGAGCCCTATCCCTGGTGGGGCAGGTGCAGGCAGGCAGCCAGAAGAGTCAGGGCACGCCGTGGGGGGCTGAGGAGGCAAGAGTCGGGAAGATGGATTTCACGTAACCGTTTGTCTGCCCTGTACCCCTCCCGGTCCACCAAGCACTTCCTTGTATGTATCTCGCCAACATGAATGTTCCCAACAATCCTGGAAAGGCTGCCGGTTCGCCAGGCTTAAACGCTTTGCAGATGAAGAAGCTGGGGGTTGGAGAGGTGGGACTGCTCATCCAAGGGCCCCCGCAGGGACACGGAGCAACGCCTGGCCTATTGACTGTAAGCACGGAGCGGCGTGTACACCGCTGTTAGGGGTAGCTGCTTTCCAGCCCTTGACGGCTCATGGTGACCCAGCGTAGAACCGTGCTCCACCGGATTTCCAAGGTCGCAGAATGACTAGGCCCATCTTCTAAGGAACCCCTGGGTGGATTCCAACTCCGATCGTGTGGGCAGTGGTCCACTACTCAACCGTGTGCACCACTATACATCACGTGACTGTGTCTAGAAATGCATCAGCTATGGGAAAACAGTTGTGACCCCCCCCCACCCCCCTCAACCCACCCATGCAATTCAATTGTCTGACAACCGTGAGCTGCGCTGCCCTCAAAGGTCTGCCCAATGGCACGTTCCTTCCTGCATGCCACAGATTGTGAAAACAGGCGCTCTGGCCACCTTCTCTCCCCTGGGTGAGGGGGGCTTCGGGGTTTTCTAGGGTGCTCACTGAGCACAGGAACTGGCCAAGGTTCAATGTCATGAGGCAACATGGATGATTGCCTTTGGCTTACTGTGCGACTGTGAAGCAAAGGGGCCCATAGGAGCTAGATGATCAGGTGGGGGTGGGGAGTGGTGTCAGCATGGCTGGCGAGAAAGCTTTGAACAGGAAAAGGGCAGTGGTTAGTGTCCCCGCCCAAAGCACCACCATTCCGTGAGGGTGTCATAAACGCAGAGATCCCAAAAGGCAGCCATCCCCATCGATGGACGGCCAGACTGACAGACTAGAAAGCAGTAAAGGCTGTCCGGTCAAAGGAATTCCTTTGGTTTTTGTGATCAGGGAGCTGCAGCAGCGTCATTTTATCTGGACATCGTTCCTTGCACCTCTGTGGGCTCCCACCCCCCTCCCAAATTTCCTCTTGGGCTTAACTCCAAGCCATCCTTTTCCTCAAAAGATTAGACTGAAACACACCCCCAGCGAGCCATCTATATAATCTTCAAAGAGCACTTTAGACATCATAAAGAAGTCTTTAACAGGCACTATTCCCCGCCCCGCCCCTCAGTCCCCACACCTGTCCTCATAAACCATTTATGAGTTTAGCAGCGAGGGAATGTACCGACTCAGATAAAGAAGTAACAGCCACCCAAGGAGTGAATGCTTGAGACTCCAGACCACCCTCCCTGAAACATGCAGACATGGGCACTGTAGTACCATCAAGCCCGCTACCCCCCTCCAGCGGCTCATCCCACCCCCCTTCTGTCTCCCTCCCCAGACCTTGCCCCCTCCTCCCCAGCGTTCCTCAGGGGCTCCAGCCGGCTCCTACCAGTGGCGCACAGAGCGCTGAAGGTCTGCGCGTGCTTGCGGATCAAGGGCAGCTTGTCGGTTGGCTGGGGCAGCTTGCGAAGGATGTGCTCGATGAAGTCGTGAGGGGTGACGGCGGCCAGGTTCCACTTCAACTTGCCCAGCACCACCAGCTCCCACTCCTGACGAAGAAGGTAGGAAAATCAAGCGTGTACGACCCAAACCTGACTTCGTGTCTGAGGCTGGGATGGGGCCCAAGGAGTCAAGTGGCCCTGAAGTGCTGCAGCGCTGACTGGCTCTTCTCACGCTTAGCTGTGGGAATCACCAAGGCTCAGGTAGCTGTGGCCCGGGCTGTGCTTGGTTCAGTTCTCCTTCCTCACCAGCTCACTTACTCCCCCCCCCCCCCTCACTTCCATGCGATGCTCTGGATTCCTGCCCACCCCATCTGACCTCTAAGACACTGCCAAGGTCAACATGGTACTTTACTGTAAAGGTCCCTATCATTGGACCAACAGTCTTCTCAACCCTCATAGGAAAAAACTGATTCACATAAAATTCAAAATAAAGGTTCTCCGGACACCTGTAGGGCAACCAGGTAAGCTTGCTCATACTTGGTGCCCCAAAGTGCTTTTTCTCTCCATCCTGAGCCTTCCCTTTGGCACATCCTGCAGAAATCAGGGGGATGGGGAAATGACACTTGACCACAGCACCCCGTCACCGAATGGCTTTTCAGGCCTTCCCAATTATGACTAGAGGACAGGACTGCCATCCAATCAGCTGTCCACTAGCGGGCCTGGGACTCCCAGCAAACTCATGTGGCTCAGTGAGCTGTGCTATGCACCTTGGGCTTTCAATGACTTTTTCCTTATTTTGTTTTTTTGAAGGAAATCACTGAGGTGCATCTGTGGGGACTTGATCCTGTAGCCTTTCCGTTAGCAGCTGAGCCTGTTGGTGATCTGTATTAACTAAGGGCACCAGGGTTGTTCTGAGCCGCCCTCAGGCTGCAGAGGGAGGTCATTCTAGCAAGGTGTGAATGGCCATCCAAGGTCACAGAATGAAACCCTTTGTCCAAATTCAGGACCAGCAAACCCCTTGGTAAAAAATCTTGTTTCTCTCAGCTAGAGAGATACTTTTGAAGGACTGTGGGGGGGAGAGCGAGAAAAGATGGAAATAAGTCTAAATGGAAAAATTTTTAAATGAGGGCAGCAGGGGTGGGGGGCACAGGCAGTCAGTCCATCTTCAGCAGCATGAGACTATGGAGAATAGCTCACCAGCGCCCCCTCTCCTCACCAGTTCAGAACGACAAATCGGGCTGTTGGGGCAAGAGGGGGGGGTGTCCTCCTCTGGCTGCACTCAGCATGTGGCGGGAGGGAACCCCCTTCCCTTCCCTCAGCGGTCTTTTGTAAAATAGAATACCCCCCACGCCCCGAGACCCAGAGATGTACGTTGCGACTAAAGATATGAGAGGCGGCATAAAGGCGGGTTTGTTCAGAGCAAAATCAATCAACTTGGCTCCCGTGGAACACAGCGGACTCCCGGGAGAACACGTTGGGCCCTGGCCACGTGCAAACGGACCCGATGCAAGATTAATTTCCCTGCAGGACCATAAGAAAAACAAGCTGGACCCCCGGCTCTCACAAGTTCCTTTTTATATGCACTCGGGGTTTGCCCGGGCTTTTTCAGAGGGTCCGGGCATCCCGGGCAGGCTGCTGAACAATCCAAGTCTTCAAAGACGGTGGGAAATCCCAGCCTCCTCTTCTCACAGGGGAACGTGAGCACAAGCCACTTGTCTCGTACCCTTATTAAAAGCAGCAGATCTCCCAGAAGAAAGTACCTTTCTGGGCCTCCCGGCCCAAACCAGCAGCAGCTGAAACCTGGCAGCGGTTCAAAGGTGAAGTCATTCATGCCCTGCTGCACATTCTCGGCACCGCCGCGCCCGGCGTGCGCGTGTCTACCACCAGGTGGCGCCACAGCCTCAGCAAGGCAGGCCCCTCACAAAGGAGCCCGTCTGGGCGCCAGGACGCAGCGCAGGCCCAGCCAATAGGAGGGGGAGGGGTGCATGGGGGGGCCCCCTTTTCCAAACTGTTTCTAAAGGTGTGGAGGCCACAAAGGAGGATGGTGGGGGTAGGGTGGGCGTGGCCTCAGAGCTCCTTCTGCACCATTCCAGTGCAGTTGTGATGTGAATATTTAAGGTGGCAGGATGTGCAGGTAATTGGTGGGGAAAATGCCTGGGGGATGGGGTGAGGGTAGGGTGCAGAAAGCTAAAGGCAAAGTCCGGACCACCAGGGTGGTAAAGAAGTCACAACCCCTTCCTGAGGAAGGAGCCCAGGCCTCAGGGGCTTTCAAAGAAAGGCCAACTTCTGATTTGGCTCAAAAGCTTAAGGAGCTGATATTTAGTGAACAGCTACTAAGTGCAGGTAATGACTTTGTCTAGATAGATAGATAGATGCCTTTACCCACCAGGTTATCAGACACAGCACCAACACTTGCCTGTTATGTGAAACACATTCCTAGATTATGAGATGGCAGGCTGTGGTCTTCAGAGGTCATTGATTGAACATTTGGAATCTAAGCGAAGCATTGTGTTAGGAAACAGCGTTGCACCAACGCAAATTTCCAAGGTGGTCTTAGTGGTCTCTGCTGCCTCGGGGTTGAGGGCAAGTGTCCCAGCACACTGCACACACACACACCCCAAAGTAAAAAAGTGTTCAAACGTGTCAAAATTCTAGTGACTGGGCCATTTTGGATCCTAAGAATTTATTTTGGGGAGGGGACCAGTGATTTACCAGCAGTTCCTGAGGGGTGATGGAGTTGTCCGTATAGATGCAGAGTTTCTCCGCCGTCAGTGGGATGGTCTCTTTGAGCTTAGAGGCCAGGAACATGCAGACAGCACCCAGGAGCTGCAGATGGGACTTAGGGGTCGGGACCCCAGCCAAGAAGCGGTCCAGGTAATTCATGGCCAAAGGGAAGACCTCTTCTTCACACTTCTGCTCCTCACAGACCTACAAAGGGAGCAGGGTGGAGAGAGGAAACAATACAGGAAAAAAGAACGGGGGAAAAATGATAGAGATGTTTTAAAATTTAATTCTGGCGTGGGGGGAGGGGAGGAGAATGTGTGATAAGAATAAAAGATGAGGCAACGGAGTACATCTAAATAAGCCCGTACAAATACGAATATTTTGCTGGAGCCTAAAAAACCGGGGTGGATTAAATCCTCCAAGCTGGGAGCAAAGGGGGCCGGAAGAGCGGTTCAGATGTTTTAAAATTTAATTCTGGCGTGGGGGGA